AAAGAAAATTAATTTTTTTCGCACTGTAAAAATAATTTTATTCTGCTATCCATGATATGTACATTTAATAGTATTAAAAGAGAATGTAATAAAAATCAGCTTATTACATTCGAATGCGCATGATTGTAGATAGTGCAATTATATTGTAGAGCGATTTTTTTTTAAACACACCACATAAAATTTCCAGGCGGCCTACTTTGCTATCTTCAGATAAGTCCTCGAAATAATATGAACTTGTGCAATGTGTGTTTGTATGTGCGGATGTGGAATTTCGTCGAGATGTGTACCGGAGGCTAGTGACGGAAACTAGGACGCGCGCGACGTAAAGATTTGTTGAAAAGAATTGCAAATAGCGCACGTGGGACGGACTGTGATATGTATGTTTGAAAGGAGACGAGGCGAGGCACAGTTTGCGACGCACTTGTTTAAGTCGGGATAAGCTCTTCCTTCGGAAAGCCTCGAAACGTAGCAAACTGCTCCGAAGCAGTTAGCTAAAATACCAGTGCGATACATTCGCAAAATGATAAAAAGCAAAATAGTACAGAATTTTTCAAAGTTATTTAATTGAATAGTTTAAGTATATAATTTAAAGAACTGATAAAAAAATATTAGAAAAAAATGAAGCCATAAATAAATTAATAAAATTTTGAATAAAAATCTATAATTTAACAATCTACAATTTGATGTAATATTTAAAACACAAAGATCTAATGAAACAATATAATAATAAAAAATAATAGAAAACAAAGCAAAATAACAAAGCAAGGTGTTTTTAAAAATAAATTACGTCTTCTATTCTATACAATGTAGTAAAACTACAAATAAAAAATTATAAGAATCATTAATTTTTATACTTTTTAAATCTGTAACATTTCTAAAACAAAGAAGATTCTTTCTTTCTAAATTTATTAAAATAATCCATTAGATTAAAGTCTAAGATATATAACGACTTTTTTATCATCGTTTTAATGATGAAATCTAGCTAATGTTATATCAGTACGGCATCATCCTGGCTTTAAAACTTTTCGAAAATATAAGTTAAATTTTATTGTTTTCTTCCTATGTTGATATCGGAAAGCATCTTGCTTCAATCAGAGACTTGTTTTCGCGAAAAAGACAAAAATACCCGCATCAAAGAAAACTCATAATCTAATCTGCAAAAAGTTTCGGTCGAGTATGATCAAAGTAAAGGTTGGAGGAAGCTTTCCACTCTAACTTCTCTACTGTGCGTGAGCTTACAGTTTACCAAATTTAAATGTGAACTTTTTCGTGAGATACGATTTCTGAGAATTCATTATGCGTTATTTGCTGAATTCAAAATACAAGATGTATAAAAAAACATTTATTACGTCTTTTTTCTACTTAAAATATTTTAAATAAACAAATAAATAGATAATATTATTTTTTTCGGAAAATTATGCAATCAAAGATATTCATTTTTATATTCACTTTATATATATTTATACCAGTTATTTGCCTATTGTATATTTTCTCATGTACATACATATATAAATTAAATATTTATTGTTATATATTTTACTATAATTTTACTATAGATTTTATATCTGATTACATTTTTTTCTCACTTTAAATTTTTTTACTACTTTAAACTTTTTTACGGTTATATATTATCATTTATCGGACACTCTATATTTTCAAATTACGCCATCGAACATCTTTTACGAGCGATTTTCGTTATTTTCTGCGGCCATATTCCTCGCTTTAGATCCTTGCTTCGCAATCATAAGCCTCATTCTCAGTCCGTTCCGCCTTCACGATCGACCGACCGATTTTCCATCCCATCGCCTGTGTATACAAATAATATACTTATATATATATATATATTGCATATCTATGAGGAAAACGCGCGATGTCTTTCCGACACATTTATTATGTATAAATATGCATATGTGAATTCCATCGATTTCCCGTCTGAAAATTTTAAACGGGCTTTTATGATAAACGAAAATTTGCAAAGAAAAAGAATGATGTAATTTTTTAAATTGGGGTAAGAAAATACTCCCATTTTTTAAAGTTTCAAGTTATATTTATTATCTCAATTGTTATAAAATACGAACGAAAATTAACTTTCAAGAAGAAATTTTGCTTCTAAGAATAAAAAAAATTCCTGATTTGATTTAATAAAAACTCTTAATTTATCTCGTTATATCTTTAATAATATAATGATTTAATATATAATATTTTATAATATAATCTATAACATATATAATATTTTCTAAGAAATAAAATGGAAAAAGAAGAAGAGTAATAAACGATATGACGTAAAATGAGAAACGAATCGAGTTTCAATATATGTAAGCCAAACATTTGTACGATTACCTTTTACGTATCTGTTTTACGTGATATTAAAGTGCACATTTCCGGATTATTTCTTGAACATTTACTAAATGTGGCTACATTAAAACGGACGGGCGATAAATGATCTTGTCGTCGTAATCTTTCGAAAGATATTTTACCAGCGTTGCGACCTTATTTCGCACGAGTTACGATTGCGGGACTAGTTGCGTCGTATAAAGTAAGATTCATAACTTGGTGCTAAGATTCATAATTATACAGTGGCTAAATGCATATTCTAGCTCAAACTATAATGCGAATGCAAGTTTTAATAGATTTTTTAGAAGAAATAAATATGCTATGTGTTGTTTAACAAAAGCGCAAATTTATTTATTAATTGCAGTCTAGTCAAATTCTTGCATTTAAATTTAGCATTTAAAGATTTTTGTAAAATTAAAATTGAGCAAATTAAAATAAACAAGGAAAAAATGTAAAATCATAAAACAATTATAATTCACATCAGAATAATTTTGATTAAACAAATGAGGTATATTTTGTTTTAAAAATTAAATTTTCGTAAGTGCAACTAACATGAATTAATATTATGTAGACCCCGTTCTAAATATGATAAATCGATAGACGAAAGTAACGAAGAGATGAAACATTCTTATCAGCAAAAATGCTGTGATCGTTTATTTGCGCAAACCTAAAAAGTTTCCAATCTCTCGATACTCATGTAATATCGAATTTAGTTTTAGCCAAAGCCTCCTACTTTCTCCTCCTACCTCTTCCTATTTTCTCTGTGTGAGTGTTCATAAAAAAAAGCTTAGCTGAGAAGCGTCTTCCAAGTTTACGCCTGTAACGAGAACGAGCGTAACTTCGAACGCGAGTTCGAAGCTGAAACAAGGGCTTGGTACGATACTCTTTTTGTTAAAAGCCGTGGTTGCCGAAGTCCGAAGTAATATAGAAACTCTAGTGTTAATCGAATGTCTCGAACTTTTTAATTGAACTAGCTTGTCTGAGCAGTTTATCGAATTACGAGAGATCACATCTCTCTCGGATTTATTCTTTCATAAACGATAAAATATGAATTTCAATTTAGCTTTCACATTACATATAATTGCGAAAGAAGAAAACATTCGCGTTTTTGTGATTCCCATTAATTATGCAAAGAGTAATTTTTATAACTCGTACAGCATAACGCAAGTATATTTATAATATATTATTTGTTGAGAATACTGAAGATATTTGTTCAGGATTAATATCTACATGCGGTGCATCTCAATTTCTGAATAACGAGATACGCCGATGAACTACTAAAGTTTAATTGCGTTTGCACTGCTCCAGTGTAATGGGAGGGAAACTACTTATTTATAAACTACTTATTTAAAATATGCTAATTAGTAAGTTAAAGTTAGAGAATTCTAATATTACCGCATTTTATTCGTAATTAGATTACTAACATTTTCTAAATTTTATTCGAATGAAAATTTTTATTACAAATACAATTGTCTCTTTCTATATGATATCTTTAAAAAATCATTGTTGATGTTAATAAGCATTCCTTTAATATTATCGATAGTAAAAAAATAAAAATAAAATAAACATATTTTTAAAGTGTAAAAAAAAAATTATATTTTAAATATACATAAAAATTAAATATCGGTAACTATACTTTTCTGTAAAATTTGTATATAATCAGATTAAATAAAAACTCAATAACAAATTTTTATAGGATAAAATATACTACAAAATATAATAAAAAAATTTTTAAGGTTTTTATCAAAATATTTTTTAAATAAAAAACACATATCAAAAGGCTTCTTTTCTATTTATTAATATAATCCAAGTTTGCACTTGTTTTGTTGTTCTAAAATTTCAATTTCTGCGAATGTAGGTTTAACTGGATGCTGTGTTTGCCTGAGTATTAAATACAAAAACGATGAACGTGTTGGTAAATCGCGTGCGTGCGAATCAACCTCTCTCTATTTCTCTTTAATCCAATAACTCTTTAATACAATATTTGTCGCTCGGCAGCGAGTGTGTATGACGCGCGCAAATCTCTAGTTAGATGTTATTTTATCGTAAATATATAAAAACGAATGCATATTATATACAATACAATAATCTCAGTATTGAATTGCTTTAGGTTTAATTCAGAAATTATTTTAATTTTCAAGAAAGACAACAAATATTATATATTTTTGGATTTTAATTTTAATGCTGGATAATATTTTTATTAAATTTTATTTAATATATTATTGTAATTCAAAAAATAATCTAAATATAAATTGACACATAATAATCTAATATAACAAAAGTCATAATGATAATTCATGACTTAATGATAATATTCTTTTCTTATAAAATTTTTTGAATATAATAAAAATATGAATCAAAGCTTTTCTCAAAAAGATATTAAGAAATTGAAGTATAAAAATAAGATATGTGAAAAATATATCATGCAAAACATGATAAATGTTATACTTCTCACAATATTATATCCTCTACATATTTAGATATATTTTATATTTTCTAACAAAGTTATTACATAATTATTTCATAGAATTTTATATCATATTTTATATAATATTTTTATATCATATTTTTATATCATATTTCATAGAATTTTATTATTACTAAATATATTATATAATACATTACTGAATATAAAATTCTATTTTATTCTGTTATTTATGTTTCAGGAGCAAAGTCGCAGCCGCTCTATTAAACAAACATTTGCAGATAAACGGTATCTCAGCCGGTCTAACTTCTCTGCCGACCGTGGACCAATCATCACCTGATCCACAACCGGAAGAGCCGCCGATAACCAATAGCACCAATATGAAGAGAGAACGGAAAGCAGCCAGAACGCTGGGTATCATTATGTCGGCGTTCCTAGCTTGCTGGCTTCCCTTTTTCCTCTGGTAATGTATATTCAATATCACTTCCTCAAACTTATCGCAAAACATTTATCGTTCTACCCTTGCTACTACTACCAATTCAAAAGCAATTTCACATTTTTATACTGTGTATATATATTCTTTTTTTATTTTTTTCTATCTTTTATATACTTTATAGACTTTAGTTTTATATACTTTATTTGCCTTAATTAGTTATTATTAGAAATAAAAGAGTTTAACATTATGTTAAAGAAACTTTGGTTATGTAACAATCAGAAGACAAAATATTTAATTATTGTTCAATAATTAAAATTAAATTATAAACAGAATTAAAAAAACTGATCTCAAAATTATAGCAAAGATATTTTGATTTGTTTAATAAAATTAATTATTAATCTTTAATAAGAAGACTTAATGAGAAGAGAAAATTAAGGATATATTTATCTTATCACATGGTATTTTTTCTTTGATTGTTTTTCTTATTAAATTGTAAATTTACACAGTTTAATAAAATTTATGCATATGACGAAAACACTCTGTTCTTCTGATCAGCGTCATGTGATACACACGTTGTACGCAATCTGTCACGGTAATTAACGTTATTTTCTCGCGCTAAATAACGTATAGTATATATCAACCTCGCTTCGTGTTCGCTGAGCTTAATTACGTAGGTGGAACTTACGTGGGGTAAATCGTTGGCGTAATGCGTTATCTCATTGAGAGGATTTTTAAAGAGATACATGTAGATACGTCCATTGACATTTTTATATGTATTATTCTTTTATTTTTTAACGTTACTTTTATGCTATTATAATCATTATTATTAAATTAGCTGTAATTTAAAAAAGCATATTACATGTGTCATTTTACTTTAATCGTATTATTTTTTATTTTATTACGCTGCTTTACGACATTATTAATTGTTTCAAAAAAGGAGAATATTACACGTTTAATTTTATTTCAAATTCAGTGGAAAATTTTGTTTAGTAAAACAGTTTTTTTAGCAGTTTTAACGAAATGATTTTTTAACAAGAATAATCTTGAAATTCAATAATTAATTTCACAAAGCGTACATAAAACTGTACTACATATGAGACGTGTAGGAGGGAGGACGTAGGGCATTTCTTTATTCTCTTCTATTTTTTTATGCAAACAATACGAAACGCGCAAAAACAAACAAAAAAGATATTGTAGACATTAACTGTAGCCTTTGCTAATTATCATGTAGGACAATTTTTATCGATCCACAGATTTTTTCGAATGCGAAATATCGTGACACAAATGAAATCAGATAGAGAAACTGTAGAAAGATATAAAATAACTGATTATAAGTATATAGAGTGATGATAGATAGATAGAAATAGAAATAAATAATTAAGTAAAGTAAAATAAATTATAAAAAATGAAAAAAATAAGAAAAAATAATATAGAATAGTATAAAATAATGGAAAGAGAAATAATAAAATTTTATAAAAATGTAAATTTTTTTACAATTCAATACGTGAATATAAAAGAATTTAAATTTAAAACAAGTCAATATTTATGCATATATATATATATATATATATATATATATATATATATACAGATAAACATATGTTAAATATGATAAAAATGAAATTAAACATATTCAGTGAGTTTATAATATCTCAAATTGTTAGTGAAATATTAATCAAGTCTTTTTGGTAAATCCATTGTTACATGATTTTATAAAATTACCGGTTTTATAAAATTACGGATGATTTTATAAAATTACAGGTAATTCTATAAGATTACAAGTGATTATATAAAATAAAGATTGATTGTATCTTTATATTTATTATATAAGATTATATAGCTTGCAATTCTACGAAATTACTAAAGAAATTCTGTACTATTACCAAATTGAGTATTCTTTCATATATCATAACATATTTTATTCAATACGTCATGGAAATTCTAATATATATAAATGTGATTACGGATATACATACATATAATAATATGAGCAATCATCATTTTCGATAATACGTGTAATCTTTGAATATTATTCGAAATCCTCATAATAATTCGCTATCAGAATCGACATGCTGATCTTACTAAATTGCTATATGTCTTATTAAGGGTACTTCTATTACATTGACAATTCTTTGATCAAGTTGATTTTCTCTTCATGAGAGATGATAATTTAAAGCAAAGCCCCCTTATTTCGAAACTTTTAAAGAAAAAATCGACTAAAATCGAAAAAAAAAATCAATCGAGGGAAATGTACTTATTAAACAATACCTTATCTAATAAAAAATGAATGGTTATATAATGCCGATCGATTATAAAAAATCGATATAATTATATAATATACTATTTTCAATAATCGATGGCAATCTCTGATAGAGTTTTCTATATTTATTTGAGATCTTCGTGATATACAATAGATAGTGAGTAAAAGTAATCGGACATTATTATTATATTATATGTGATGCGTGAGGGTCGATTTCGAGAAAATTGTCCATTTGACGATTATCATCGAACGATATCCGAATAAAAACGAATGGTCGAGGGATATTGCGTCATGTCGTCCCGAAATTCCTGAGGGTGCAGTAACGCGGAAAGGAGGTGAGTCGGACGGTTATATAGGGAGTCGCGATCGATAGGGAAAAGTAGCGTATGCCGCCGTGATCTCCGGAGATTTGCAGCGAGAAAGCTTGAGGGTTGTGTGCAACCACCTCGAAGCGGAAGAAGGGTGGTTCCCCGGTGTGTGTCAAGTGCCTTCTCTCCAGATATAACACGATGGCACGACGACGTATCACAATAGACCGACGACGAAAGCAAAAGACCAAAAGTCAGCCATTTTTAAATTTAACTCTTTAACGCAAGGTGAGGCAAACGCTAGATTTTAATGAAAGAAATTGTAGGCAGTATGTATGCGTATTGAAAATTTTTAAACAAAATTATTTGAAGATTTATTTATATTCAATCTCTGTATATTTTTAATTTAACTCTTAATTGTGTTTATTTTAAGCGGAAAACACATATACATATTTGAAGTAAAAAAATTAAAATTTCACTTTTTTTGATTGGTTTCCAATTTTCGCTTTTATTACAGGTTTTTAGCGTGCGATAAACATTCATTGTTTATAATTATTAAATGTTATATTGTTGAACGGTTATATTGTTGTTTTACGAAATCCATGTTGTGTACAGAATTTCAAAAAAATATAATATAATTATGTTATATTTATTAAATCTTTTATAAACAGATCTTTTATAAACATACGAAATATTGAGTGAAAACTGAAATTCATATGGAATATAAATAACGCTTTTTTTAATATAATAACAAGAAATGTAAATTGTAATATAATTATAAAATATAAATTAAATAACTAAATAATAAATAAAATACATAAAAATAAATCAGATATAATTAATATTATGCACACGCTCTAAAAGAGATTAAATAAATAATTTTTAATCTTATTTATTTCAAAAAGCATATCCCATTTTTTGTGTAATGTAAAATATATAGAGGAATATAGAGGAGAGATATATAGATAAAAATAAATAATAATTCTAATAAAATGTAAGATTTCTGTCCGAAAAGTGTAACGATAAAATATTAACAACAATTCCGAAATATGGACGTTTCTTGCCAAAGTATTTTTCCGTGTAATCGCGGAAACACACTCAATCGCTTCTCACAATAGTTGGTGAGAAATTCTCTACGGGCATCGAAAAAGTTCAATAATTCGATAGAGAACTGAGAAAGAAAAGTGCAGAAAAATGTTTCACGATAACTTCAAATCGATTCGGAAGTCATCAAGATTACGATAGGAAAAAGATGAATCCTCCCGGGAATATATTCGGTTTTAGTTAGATTTCATTCCAATCCAGTATACATATTCTGAATTTCGCCGCTCCTTCACAATCTTTTTGATCTTTCGCTAGTCATGCATGTCAAAGTAAATCGTGACAATATCTGTAATCCAATTTGTTCGTTTTATTTGATAGAATTCATCGGTATTCAACAATATTGTCCCATTAAACATATCGGTATTCAACAATATTACCCCATCAAAAACATTTACGATATTCTAATAATTTCCAGATATTTCAGGGAGAATAATTAATTTGCAATTAATAAATAAAATGCAACTCTTTGTGAAATTTCAAAATATGATTTACTTTCAAAATATGAGATTTGTTTCAATAAAAGTCACGATACATTCAAGAATCATAAAAAATAATATTTCCCCTATTTTATCTATATATATATTAAAGATTTACCAAAAAAGTTACTTATATTCCACACAGAATGTTTATGTCATATTTTTTATTATAAATGTTTATATTATTTCATAATATTTTATATTCGACCAGATGAATAGAATAGTACTAATGCTACGAAGAAATAAAGTAATTAGCAGCTTTTAATTCATCATTTTTATTATTATGTCCGTATGTAATAGTTTCATGAATTTTTTTGTCCATCAAACAAGCAATGAAATTGATTTCTTGTCGTTGATTTCTTGTCGTTGATCCGGCGTGATGATATTGTCCCGCTATATCCATCACGCGGCTATCAATTTTTCTATTTTCGAATCGACTGTCCGTATTCCTATTACTTTGCCAAATAATATAAACCAATATTTTACTTTCCCCTTTCCTCGTCTGGCCTCATTAAGAGGCAAATCCTTGACCCACTTTCTCCCTTGCTTCTACTCTGATAAGCTTTTTTGACTTTATTTGTCGCTGTCTGACACGTCTTGGAGTGTCACTACTCGTACATTTCCTAGGGACAAATTGAATTGGTGATACAGCACGGACGTAGAATTAATTTTGTTAATATCACTTTAGACAATGTTTATATGATATGAGATGTGAATTCAAGATGTGCCCACGAATAGAAGTTGTATTTATAATTTTATATACATGCGCTTATATAATTTTATACGTCTACATAAGTAAGATTATATAATTAATATAAGATTATATAATTTTATACGTCTACGTAATAAATGTAAGCATTTGGAACAAAAAATTATTCACGGCTGTTAGCTATATACTACAATGTATTAACCGTATTCGCGCTACATTACGTCATCGATTATATTTTATCGATCTGACGCAGAGTCCGTTGCATGAAAAATCACTTTAAATAAATAAAGGCGTAGGCTATTGCATGAAAAGTAGGCAAGAGAAATCAAGTATCGATCTGTAGGAGTTAGTTACGCTCATTGTTAGAGAAAGAAAAACGGAGGGGAGAGAGATAAAAGTTTTAAAGGAATTGAATAGTACGACGGTCAATGAAAGAATATCTCGATGTGTAAAGAACTCTAGCCATTCACATGGGAAGAAGAGAAAAAAGCTTGACCTTAACCGGTAGTCATTCTATTCTTAGCTGCTGCAGCTAATGCACTATTACGAGACACAGTTTGATTTTCATCGACCGTAAATGTGTATGAAAAAGCTCGAAAATAAATTATGCTGGAATAAAATTTGCCTAGAACAACATGTATATTTAAAATGAAAAATTTTACTTGCAATATCATAAAGCTTGAAATTTCCTTTAATTTTATTTAGATCTATCACTTTTTTTCATACACACATTTCAAAATAAAATATTTATATCAATAAGGGGGAAATAAAGATTTCAAATAATTTCAGTCTGCTTTAGAATCTGTCCAGAATCGACTTATAATTTCCATATACGAATGAAAAGAAGTTTTATTCGCTGAAAAAAATAATGAGTAGACTTAATAAATTTCTAAGAGGATGATTTATTTTTTAGCTTTATAGAATTACGACGTCTTAATATGGAGCTATTCGATATAGTTATTTCTATCGTTCCGAATTGAGCCTCAATAATGGCATCCAAGGGAAATCGTATAACGCGAATCAAGAAAAATTGAGAAAAGAAGAATTCCTTTCTCCTGCAAGTCTGTAAACCTATTCTTTTCTTCTCGATGGAAACAATTTCGACGTCAGGTACATGTAGGTCACCCTACAGAAAAAGAGATATATTTTGTTTCTTTTTTCCCATCGCAATATATACTTACTGTATTTCTCCACCGCAAATTATATGCGCATAATTGAGAAACCTATTCTTTTCTTTTTTTCTTTATATATATATATATATATATATATATATATATATATATATAATAATAATAATAATTTAGTCATTTTTTGCAATTGTTTTTCAATATATAAAATTTGAAAAGGATTGTAAAGAATTAATATTTATATACATATAATCTATTTGTACACTCTTAATTCATATAAATTATATATAATTAATATATAAATAATTTCCACATTATAGACATTTATTATTAATAATAACTATACGTTTTGTTTAACGAATATTTGTTTTGATGCAGGTACATCATTACGGCGCTATGCGCTTCGTGCAAAAGCGGCGATATGGTGGTGGCGATTGTGTTTTGGGTAGGCTACTTCAACAGCGCTCTTAATCCGCTCATCTACGCGTACTTCAACCGCGAGTTTCGCGCGGCCTTTCGCAAGACCCTCGAGAGTTGCTGCCGCGCGTTTGGCCCGGTTCACGACCTGCGCCAGGTACATCGCAAACAGGACCTCGTGCACAGTAATGCTTCATCCGAGTTGCACGTCAACAATCAGCTGCGCAACAGCGAGATGACTAATGTCCACATCGAAGCGTGCATTTAAACGAATCGCGTGGATCCGGCGAGGTGACGTAAAAGTAAAACGGACTTCTCGCGAGCACAAAAGAAAATAAGTAGGACACTGGCAGGTAGGATGGACGAATTCGCAGGCTATATCAAGCCGATCAAAAACATTTAATAATGTTTAACATTACAATAACGTAATCATATTTTTTCGTATAAAAATATTTGAAATTAATGGATTAAAGGGAGGATTTAGCTCTTTTATAAGAGGAAATTTAATGTGAAACGGATTCAATTTTTTCCCCACAAATAATAAGTATCTTTCTTATATTGATTACAAAACGACAAATTTTTTGATCAATTTAATATTAGGAGGATTTAAGGCTGTATTCATTATTGTTACTGTATCTTCGTTTTCCTTACGATCTCCTCTGACTATCTCAGATAAAATTCAGAAAATCCAGGAATAAGAAAGTGTAAAGAAAAAGATAAGTAAATTAATAAAAAAGTAAATATTTGAAGAATTTTGATGTATATATAGAATAAATTGCGTTTGTAGTTTGACAATTATTACAACAATTATTATTTATTCCTATAATAACTAAACATTAATTCTTTATATAATTTTTAAAATTAATTTTATAATTTATATAATTTTTAAAATTTCATCGAGGATTAAATTTTATCAATCGAGGATTATTATTTTATCAATTAAAATTGTATTAAAAATAAATTTTCGTAAAATTCGTGATAATATTTTTGAGAGAATTTAAAAAAACGAGATATTAAATCTGCTATTATATATATTGTTTTTAAATTTTGGTATGCGTTTATATCGGACTTAAAGAATCTGCTATAAGAAAAGATTAAGATTGCTCAAAAATCATCAGAAGATTTATCATGAAAACTAAGACTGTTCAAAAATTCGAAAAAATTCATAATTAAAATTAAGATTGCTCTCAATTCTCGTCATTAAAATTAAGATCGCGAATGTGCGATATCTACATATTCGCAAGTACTTGACGTAAGCAATTTGCAAGAGAAAAATATTCATAGTCCCAAGGAGAACGTGAATAGAGTATGTACGCTATGCTCGTGCCTGTTTCGTCCTATGCGACCGACCTATTTTAAGGGACATATTTGCCGCTAGTCCCCAAGGGTCTATTTCTGTCCAGGCAGCGTTCTATCAGGTCCGTAAATAAGACTCCTGTCCGTCGGCAGATTGATGTTCCGATTCAACAGTAATATTTTAGCGGTGGTCCGATAACGTCGGAATGAACTTTCGAACCAACCTTCGATTTGTTCGCAATACTTCTATTTCGTCGCGTGATTTGGCATTGTATATTTTTACAACAAATTACAACAAATTTAATTTCTATCCTATATGAAATTAACTGAAACACTATGATTATTAAAATAGAATTAAAATTCGAAAACCACTGAGAAAAGATCATTATTTTGTAAATTTTATTATTCAAATAATTATTTTTGCTCTTAATTATTTATATTTTAATAAATTAAAAAAAAGATTAATCTTGGCAAGAATCTATATATGTATCGAAGATTTTTGTTGAAAAAAGAAATTGTTTCAACGTTGATAGAGAAATTTACAAGAAAACATATGAAAGAATTATTTCAAAAACTCTTGAGATCCTATAGACGCTGTCCCATAATTGGAGGAGAAACGAAGGGAGAAACGAAGAGATGAGAAAGACCAAGAAGAAAGGTGGGAAGGTAAAGCCATTTTACTCGTTTAGGGGATCACTTTGTATATAATTGCGCTGCAGCAGCGCGTTTCGTTCTAATCAAAGAGATTTATAATAATGAGACCTTAAACGAGATATCATTGTAAATACGAATCTGGGTATCTTTAGACTCGAGTAACTTCGTGTATAAATGTTGAACCCGTATCATCCCTTTCGCAAGACAAATCGTTTTATTGAAATAAATAGATTTACAAAGGCACTTCGTTAAAGAGAATCACTGAAATGCCAAAAAATAAGAAGCAGAGAATATATTATATATATACACAGTATATCTACATGTACAGCAATAGAATATAAGAATGTTGCTGTTATGTTGCTCGTCGATTGTTAATATATAATGATATAATTTATTGTATATTGTTTATTTATTATGATGAATATAGCGAATATTCGATATCCATTCTAGCCTTAATTCTTGAAAAAACTCAAAAGAAAAGCGGAGGAATTATGCGTTATATTCATAGATATGTCAGCCTTATTATATAGTTCTGTCTTTAAAATTTTTGAGTTTTAGAAAATGATAAAGGCGTGAAAAATTATAAATAGAATAAATTAATTTATTTTAGAAATGTCTCTTTGCTTATTAGAATCCTTATATTTTCCATAGAAAATATAACAAATAAATTTCGGAAATCTACTTTGGAGCCAATTACCAACATCTCTATTTTTGACAAAACATGAGAAAGCATTTAGTAACATTAGTAATAAATTAAATAATTAATAAAATAAAATAGAACGAAGGAAATATTATCTCGCCAAACGATCTTTAAGATTTCATAATTCATTTTTGACGTTCTTTATAATAAAACGCTCTTTTCCCAGGATGAGGAATTTTTATATTGGTTTTCAGAATATATAATTTTATTATATTAAAAAAACAATGACGCGTGCAATAATCACGAATGAGTTATTGCGATTGTGTTGCAATGAACGCATGAATTATTTTTCAATGCTTTTTGCTTCTTTTCCTTTCCTATTAGTTATTTTTAAAGTGTCGGCTGACAGATCAAAGAAAACGGCACACATATAGTTATGTATATTTCAGAGTGCAGAACAATCACTAACGTAAGAAGATCGAGCGATGAACGATATCGATACCATATTTTTTCACGCATTTGCGATTGCAAATTTTACAGAAATTAACAATTTGTAGAAATTATTTCAATTATATAAAGATAATATTTCAATTTAAGATAAATTTTTAAAACAATTATTTATATATTACTTTATATTACATTATTTTTAACAACAGATAATATCGTGTATGTTAATATAGATCCATTTCAGTGAATTTAAACAGATTTCAATTTCTTGTTTCTTCCCAATTTACGATCGTTGGGATATAAAATCACTACAAAATCGTTCGCCAGCTCGATCCACTCGTATATCATGTATCTGTTAGGCTACGTATAAAGGCAGCTAGTCTAATATAATGTGCAACGTTGTAAATTGATGTTTACGAGACATTTCCGTCGTAAAAGTGGCTGCTGTAAACAACTGGTGCGGGCAAACAGATCTTTTAATGAAAAAAAGCGATATAAAATCGATTACAGACGATCCATAATTTACGAAAAAGAGTTACTGAAAAAAGTTACATATTTAAAAAAAGAGATATATAAGAGATATATTAAAAATGTATAAAAATTTTACGTTATATATATTTGATACACATATTTGAATTATTGATCGTCTTTGATCGAAATTTAATCTGAAACAAAAAGACATTCTTCAAAAGGAAACACTTAGTATTTTAATGACAATAGTGTGAATGAGAGAATTTATTATAAGTTTTATGGGCGCGTGATTTTCGTAAACTTCAGATTGATACCTAGATAATTTTGCGAGAGATTGTGGTTATTTTGGATGCGTGGTCATATATATGTGCGGCGGAATTTGCAGGTTGTATAACTATATTTACTGTAATGTGGTTTCATGGATCGTGTTGTCTAATAATGGGGAGACTAATTTATCATGAGATTATTATATCCCATTAATTTGTGGCAAACATTACCAGATATTATACAAAGTAATGCAATAAGAAAGGTAAATATGTATCCTCATTTTTTTTCCTATATTTATATATATAATTTAATTATTATATATATTTATTAAATTGAAATATGTTTATTAAATGACATCAAAGTTTTTTTGGTATATTTTGGTATATTTCAAATAATTTGTAGGCAATATATTAATTATAATATGTTAAGTTAATACATATTTATTTTTTACAGATTTGTGTATATTTACAATAATTCTGTATTAATTATTTCTTAATTTTTAATTCTAAATAATTTAACATACATTAAACAATTTAAATTCGTTAATATATGCATGTATATATATTTTTAAAAAATAATACATATATTTTATATTTCTTTTTAAAATTTATATCCTATTTTTTTATACTTTATTATTTTGTATACTCTTATTAATGTGATAAAATCTATTATAATATATATGTATATATATATATATATATATATATATATATATATATATATGTATTTTAATTATGATGTATATAATTTAGTTATCGATGCTAATTATTTGTACATATTTATTTATTATCAATTATGTATTATTGTCATTAATGGTAATGATAATTTGAATCAAAAGTTACTTACGTGACTATGCATCCATCATAATGGAAATCTAATGCATAACATATTTGCACAATAGTGCATTTTTAAATGCCACAATGATAAAATACGCATATATGTGTACGAGATAAGATCTTTATGTATCGTGTGGGAATGTATAGAGAATGCAAATATATTGTAATAACTGTGTGTTTGAAGATGTGGATCTGTGTAGAAAATTAATAACAATGTTTTAAAAAAACTTCTATATTTCTTTCGATTTCCTGGTTGCCTATATAATATCCGCAATCATGTACTTCTATATAATTTTTATAATATAAATTTGTCCTAAAAATAATAATCTCTCACACTTTTGTTTAACTTTAAATTATACTCGCAACTTTTTTTTTAATTTTAATTAAATTTTAATCTTTTTCCTATAAAATATATTATTATATCGCGTAAGCTATTTTTATGCAAATAAATCCACGTCGGGAAATCCAACAATAACTTGATATAAAGAACGAAGAAAATAAACTGAACCGCTTCATGCTAAACGCGTATGTATACGACGTGATATAAAATTTTTTTTAAATTAAAAAATCTCTTAATTTATTCATAAAACTTAATAATTAAAACTTAAAAGTCATATAGGCACAATATAATAAAAATTATTTAGGAATAAAATATTTAAATGTAAAAAATTTCATTTACAGAAAGAAGTTATGTATAAGTATTAACTATAATTATGTTATAATATGTATACTAATTGTATTATAATATAATTTAATATTTTTTTAAATTTTATTATTTGAATTTATACGAAATATATTTCTTTTCATATTTTTAATAGAATTTTCAGCAGAAAAATACAGATTTTGTAATTATATACTTATTTAATAGCAACTGATTTGATTCTGTCATTCTAAATGTTTATACTTGTAAAGCATGAAATGCAACATTCTCATTTTAGAAAGCTTGTCAAGATTTCATGGGTAGTCAAACTGCGACACCTGCTTAGCATCCGGGACAATAGGTTCCTCTTGCTATTATTGCAGTATGCATGCAACTACTGCATTGAGAGGAATTATGTATTCGTATTATTATAGAATTTTCAAATG